TTTTTTCTCATTTTCCATGACTGGAAAATGAGTTAATCATTTTCCAGGTTTTCCAGGACGCGTGGGAACCCTGCCACAGTATTTCATTTTAATCAGCTTCACACTGAATGTCTAAATGAGCTGAACTTTTGCAGTGTGTGCTTTAAGACTTTTTAAGTTCAGGTGAATTTCAAACCAGATTTTAGGGGCCAAATAATGGAGCACATACAGAGAACAGGACAGAGGTTAGAAATATTCAAAACCATGCATGTGTATAAAACAGAAATCCTCTTAATGTGGCTGCAGGAACCCTTTTATCAGTACGTCAACAGTCTAATATGACGAGGTTTTCCTGTCGTTACCACTCGAGGTGGTTTAAAGCATGAACAGGTTGAAAGAAGGCGACTGGCAGATGATCATCTGACAGTGAGGCAGAGCTGAGTGCAGGACGTGGAGCTGATTGACGAACCTCCACTTCTATTTTTCTGAAAGCTTTTGACACCCGTCCTGTTTGAAGATATCTATCTCTGAAATGAAAGACGACCCACTTGATAATAAAACCATCTGTGTGACTTGATAAACCCATTTGTACGTCTCTCGGCACTCTTCACTTGAACTACTGTCCCAACACAAAACTATCACACAGCCTGAATGACAGCCAGACCTGTAGCTGATCGTGTTCTAGCAGTGACAGAGCTGAATGGCAGAGTGAGTTTATTTGGGACACTGAGCGGTACAGCACGGTTCAGTACAGGTAGAAATGGACCTTTTTGATATTAAATGCTGAAGCTGGAAGTTGAACTGCAGTCGGTCATGTGATAGTTCACGTAGGAAGTAAAGACATTCTCATCCTTGTAGTGCATTTTGCAGACTTGACATGTTTGATGAACATCTCTGACCTGTTGAACAGTGAACCTACTTTACAACATGGACACTGAAAGCAAGTACGTGTCGTTCAGATCTATTCCAAAGCACATTTCATTTCATGGAAGCATGTCGTCATCTTAAACACACTCTCAGTTAGCTTGTGGCCTTCTGCTAGTGTGTGTAAGAGTACATGCTCTGTAAGAGCAGGCCACATGGCTGCTATGTAGATGAGACTGGTGTGTGTGCTGTGCTCATGTCCAACATGCTCTATAGAGGACTGGACCAGGGATTCTGTACAATGTTCTGCAGAGCGTCTGTGTTTGATCCAGGTAATGCAGTCGGGGTTGTAGCTGGACGGAAGGCAGTGGCTCTAGGCCTCAGAGGTCCTCCTTCTGATCTCACTGATGAGATCAGCTCTGGATATATCGATCTGTGGAGAGGCAGCAAGGACAAAAGAGGCGGTAAGTCCGGTTTCTATAGCTACAGGGAATGTGTATATACTTTATTGGTCTCTATGTTGATAGATAAGTTTTAAATCAGCCATTTAAAATGTGTTTTTGGCTCAGATTTGATGTTTGTCCTGACAAAACTATAAGTCACATTATTAGCTCATGGACCAACAGAAAGTTGAATGTCAAATGGTGTAATTTATTTTTTTATTTCTATATGACATGCCTTTCAAATCCATTGGTGGGTTTTGGAGGTACTACCTGGCAAACTTTCAATGAAACCTTTGGCAGCTCGGCACAAGGAGCTAATATTCACATGGTGTTCATTAGATACTTCTTCGGCTGATCCGAGTGTTTTTGTGTGTGTCTGTGGCAGCTCAGATGCAGAAGTCATACCTCTTCTCTGGTGGCCACCACACGCAGTTTGACCACTCCGTCTTTCAGCTCCTGTTCTCCCAGTATGGCCACCAGGGGGATCCCCGACTCCTCGCAGTGCTGCAGCTGACTCAGGAGTTTGGGGTTCTTCTTGTACATCACCTCTGCCTGCATACAAAACACACACACACAAAAACCTTCAGTCGCTGTACTTCTCACTGGTTGTTCCATCAGAATTCACACCAGTAAGACAAAGTGGATGAAGGACTGTTGTAACTTTATATTTTAGTCTAACCAGCTGCTATATTAAACAATAAACAAATCACGGTCGCAATAAAATAATAATTCATATTATTATGCTTAAATCACAACACAAACAAAGTCAAAGGGTTGTTTTCATTTCATATATTTTGGAAAATACGCTTAGAATATTATGACTTCATCACAAAAGTGCCACTACCACAGCCAGCATACGTTTTAATTGAGCAACATAAGTGATGTAGATATCAGCACCGAGACTCGAGTCGTGTTTGAAAACGTGATTTTAGCCAGAAGCTCCCTCCATAGTTCCCTGATTAGAGCTCACATCACCTGAACGTGTGTTGGCAGCAGCTGACAATAACAAGTTAAAAAGCAAAACAAACAAAAATGACACATGAAGCGATCAGAAAACATGGACACACCTTTATGTCAGCGTTCCACAGCTCAGTTACCAGTCTGAGCCTCTCCTCGAGCAGGTTCTTCTGAGCGGATGCCACCATGACCTGGACCTCGGTGGTGCGCACCTTCTCTGCTGAGGCCTGAACAACACGACACCGTTAGTCTGGACACCAGCAGCACAGAAACACAACCAGGCCCAACAAGGCAGAAACACCAACACGATTCCTCTTTATTTTACAGTCAACAGCCGACGCATTACCTCAGCCTTCTGCTCCATGATGGAGAAGATTCTCTCGATGCCGATGCTGACGCCCACACAGGGCACTTTTCTGCCCTTGGGGTCAAACATGCCCACCAGGCCGTCGTATCGACCCCCTCCGGCCACGCTGCCCACGCTGACGCTCTCTTCTGAATTTGCCCCATTTTGGGCTTCGTTAGCGACGGGGGCTACACCCGCCTGAGTCAGCACCGCCTCATAAATGATTCCGGTGTAGTAGTCCAGACCGCGGGCCAAACTGAGGTCAAACACCACCTGGAGGTGACAGAGTTCAGAGTAAAACAGGACAGCAGAGATGAGAGATTACTGAAACCAAAATAAGAAGAGAAAGCAGAGGGTGTTTTAAAACTGTGATAATGGAGCAAAACACATTTAAAATATGTACATCTTCCTCACCTTGTCTGTGACCTGGAAGAGCTGAAGGTAGCTGAAGAGAAGCTTGATGTCCGACAGGCCGGCGGTGGCCAGCTTGCTCTGAGACATCTTGGGGTCCTGAAGGAGTCGCTCAGCGAGGTCCATCCCACCTGCAACAAGGAACAGCCTCCGACTGACACATGCAGCTCAGTGTCTAATAGTCACTCCTTCAATCCCCCCCCGGCTCCTCGGCTACTCAACGCTCCACCATGTTCACCAGATAGTCTGATGCTCAGCATGCAGAGGACAACCACTAAATCTACTGGGCAGCTTGAAAGGAACGTTTTCTTGAAGAAATGACACCATTCAAAAAGTGTAAAAACTTCCTGATGAACTACTCCAGTCAAACGCAGCTCTTTCAGAAAAATTAACCAAACCGAAGCTTAAAATAGTGATATTTCATCAAAATCATTTTATTCTACATGTCTCTGGCTGTCTTTGTCACGTCTGCTGCTTCAGTCATGCGTCAAAACTCAGGGACTATTCAGCTCAGCTGCAGCCTTTCAGCAGGGCAGAGACAAGTATGGAAACAAATGAGGAATGTCAGTTGTAAAATATCAACAGAATACAAAGCCACCAATTACTCTCCAGTGTTGGAAACACCTGTGGGCACTTGACAGGTTTTTTTATATTTTTGTAAAATGAATAACCAAAGAAACGTCACTTTAGTTCAGTCACCTGTAGTTTGATTTATGATTTTTGGCATTTGAACTGTGTCACACATGTCTCCGTCCTCTCCACCAACAAACAGAGTAAAAACGTGACGGGAGCAAAACACGCCCAGAAGCTGCTTCAGTTCAGATGGTTAATACAAAAACAGCGTTTTATGCTGTAATGCTGTAGGTACCTGCAACTACTGTGTTTATTTCTATAAACAAAAATACACCGTGGAGTCGGGCAGAGTTTCATGTGAAATACTGGAACTATGGAATGGAGCTACACTGGTAATTTAAATTTCTCCTAATTCCACCACTGAACAGCATAATCCTGCCATCTGTGCTGCTGACAGGAGTCTAGGGTGCAGGTTTAAATAAATCAACCTTTCACCTGCACCAAGGCACTCCCAGTGTCTCAGATCTTAGGTGAACTCGGGGAACCGTCTTACCCTGCATGCTGACGTACTCCCCAATCTGGTCGGCGGCCTCCTCCGACAGGCCCTTCTCATTCACCATCTCCTTCTTCACGTCCTCCCACGGCATCTAGAGGACACGAGTCAAAGCCAGACAACAATGACTGACCCGCCAACAGTGGTGGAACATGAAGGTTAAAAAAAAAGATACAGGCACACAGACTGAGATACAGACACACAACTCTCCATACACGTTCACAAATGGTTTTGCTACAATACCCCCGTAAAAATGGCATGAAACTGGTGTGAATGTAAGATCACCGATTTCAGAATCATTTGTTCCAAAGACCTGCTCAGTCCACAGAACTTTTACGTTTTCTCTTTTTCATGGAACGGACAGTTTAGTCCGTGCACAGCTGTACGTCTCCATACCTTGTCCAGTTTATCCACCGTTGAACAGATGGTGCGGAACTTGTCGTCTGGAACACCGCACACGGCAAACATCCCGTCGAGGATGCGTCTGTCGTTGACCTGCAAATGGAGGTTAGGTCAGGAAGTGATGTCTGGAGACCAGAGACCGTCCTTCTGAGTATTCAGCCAAACTGACAAACGAACCTTAATGCGGAAGTCTCCGAGGTCCAGCTCGCTGAGGATTTCGTGGACAATCTTCAGACACTCAGCGTCGGGGATCATACCGTCATACTGCCCTGCAATGTCAAAATCCTGAAACACACACACATGTTGAAGGATTAACGTAGTGCAGCTGATGTCTCGGCGAGCTTTTGAAGTGAATCAAACCAGGACATATCCACAAGTTGTATAAAATCCACCAACAGCTCAGTTTGGAGATGGTTCAGGCAGGACTTACACACTGGTAAAACTCTCGGTAGCGTCCGCGGGTCATGGCTGGGTTGTCGCGTCGGTAGACCTTAGCAATGTGGTAGCGCTTGATGTTGGAGATCTTGTTCATGGCCAGGTAGCGGGCAAAGGGAACCTGAAAGAGCGCAAGTCAAGGACAGCGTGCTTTCTCTGCTTTAAAGGGAACTACTTTTACTTTTGCCACCAGCAGCGTCTGCAGAACCACAAGCTGCAGCTGCGGTTTCGTAAAAGGTTTCTGCACCAACAAACAGCATCTTTTGTTCAGTTGTGGCACCGTGTTCATGAGGAGCATCTGACATTCAGCAACGTTCTGTCTGTCTCAGCTACATTGTCTGATGATGCTGGTTCTTGATAGAAACTTTTTTGTTTTTTAAATTTAGATATTTCTCAGTAATTTCAACTCATCTAGAAAAAGACAGGAAATGTTGAGCATAGCGATGACACAAAAACAAAGCAGTATTATGAGTTTAAAATAATAATAATGATGTAAATACAGTGCGGTACAGTTGGTGGTGTGCATTTTTGTCTTTGAAGGATACGGTGAGGTCGTATCTGAGGGACAGCAGCTCTCCTCCTTGGTCTTTGAGGTCGTAGATGAGCTTGGAATCTTCTCCGTACTTCCCCGTCAGTGTTTCCTGTGCGAGCAGGGAGATAAGTCACTTCCTTGTTTGTATGCAGGATGACTTCAAGTTTACAAGCTGAGCAGCAAACATGTTAACTTACCTTAAGCTCAAAAACCGGTGTGTCGATGGTCTCTGCTCCGTGGCGTTTAAAGCAGCTGACGATGGTGTTGAAGACCTTCTCTCTGATGGCCATCTGCTTGGGATTGTAGTCCCTCGTTCCCTGACAGACAGAGAGATTTGCTGTTGACCATTTTAATGCAAACATGTGTTGTAAGTATGAATCCAGAAATAAACAGCAAAATAGCTCAACAGGCACCATACACACATAAAACCTTGAAATCAGCATAATAGAGATATTTACCTGACAATTAAAGCCACCAAAATGTGAGAACAAAGCCACTGAAAACTATGAAAAATGTGTCATTTTCATAAAATGATTCAATAATGAAGGAGTAATCTAATATCTTTAATTTTTTCATATGTTTTTAATGGATCTGATGACTTTCCTTTCAAAAAGTTTCAAAGAAATCAAAACAATCCTTCCTGGGAAAAAAAAATAAGTTAAAATGTCCTAAAAAGTGTATTTTCCAGCTCAGAAGTTAATTTTAGTCAATTTATGATGCAGCACCACATGACCTTCTGATACGACAAAACTACGTTGTTCTACTCACAGCAGAAATGTGGTTGGATTTGAGTGAAATTAGAAAAGATAATAATTTTTGAAGATTGAAGATTTTTCCTTTTGATGATAAATTAAAGATTTTTATTATTTTAATTTGTCTTTTAAAAAAATCAGCATAAGCCATTGACATGATTACAAGTTCAATTTTTTTTTGAGGTTTCTGGAATACTCAGCAAAAAAAAAAAAAAAATCAACATCGGGGGCTTATTTTTAAACATTCATAACTCAAAAAGCATTTGCATGAGAGCTGTGGGAGTTTGCAAGATTCCCTGATTTAGGTAGAAATGTTTGCATTATTTTCCACAAGAAAACCCACAAGCTCACCTGGGAGGCCACTGGTGAGTTGGTAGTGAATGACACAGGTGTAATGAGAAAGCAGGAAGAAGTGGAGTCAGATGAGCTTTAAAACGTTGTGTCGATCACTTCTTAACAACGTGTTTAAACTATGACACATGTCATTATGTCTTTCAGGTGACGACGTGAGCCAGACTGCAGATTGTGGATCTGTTCATGCATGAACCTGCTCGTTCTTATTCATACAGATGTTCAGATACAGATGATAGCAGGTTACTACCACTGGTTCTGTTTCCATTTCTAATCCAACAATGCTCTGCATGCAAGGTGTCAGAATACAGAATATCCACTAGTCAATAAACCAAAAGAGCAACACTCATATTCAGAAATATTTATTTAAATTAAACTGGTTATTTGCACAACCTCTCATCATGTATGTATGTATAGATTTGCATTTGCACTGCTTATTATTATTATTATTGTTATTATTATATATTTATTCCTTATCTTATATATATATATATATGTACCCCCATTCTCATATTCCATTTGCACCATTCTCCTTTTATGTGTACTTTCATACTTGTTGCACTATTTCTTATACTTATATGTACATTTTTCTATATAGTACGTGTGTATCTCTATGTGTAAAGCTGCTAACAACAATGTGAATTTCTCCACTGCGAGATAAATAAAGGCTGATCTTATCTTACAGCAGCACTGTGCTCTTACCTTTGCTGTTTTGAGGACAAACTGATGTTTTCCATCGTCTCCTCCTAACCGAGCCTTCAGCTCCAGCAGTTTGGCTACTTCTTCATCAATCTACAATATATACACACACACACACAAAGTAGAAGGCAAGGATTTAGTTTGTAGAGTGACCACACTGCCTTTGCCAACATTGATGAGAGACTTCTCAATCACTTGATAAATGTTGTCAAACACACACATGCACAGAGGCTTACCTGAGCCACAGTGATCCCAGAGAGCGAGCGCAGAGTTCGGACACAAGTTGCAGTCCGATGGCCGACCAGGCCAGAGCAAGCACGTACACAAAACACGCCCAGCATGTTTAGTCCACAGCACAGGGCATAAGAAAAAAAAAAAAAAAAGTAAAAAAATTATTCCAGAAGTTGGATGAGTAAAAGTTCAAGAGTGCATCACAGGTGCAGCATTATCCAGTGGTATTGTTCCAGGCCGGCCACACAAGCCAATCATCAGTAGACGGAGGCCCAGGGAGGGAGGTGTGCAGCGCCGCCCAGGAGGTGAGGTAGATGATGTTGATGATGACGAAGGATAGGGCAGGCCAAAGTCGCCCGGGGTCAGGCAGGAAGAACAGGAGAAAAGTAGTAAGCAACCCTAGCACTAGGGGAGGGCGGGGCATGACGCACCATCACAGCGTGGAGGATAGAACACGAGATGTACCAAGTCAATCAAAGCAGCCAGCCCAACACAGACCCCACAGACAGACAGACAGACAGACAGACAGACAGACCCTGCTCTGAGCCTACTACCAAATACATGCATCTGGGGAATTTACTGCATCCTGTGCAGCTTCTCAACAGTTCCATACAGTTAAAGCTCGTCTTAGTTTTCCTGAAAAACAGGTAGAGTCAACAATGCAGACTGAAAATCTTCTTCTGATTTTTGGTGTTACTATTTACATCAATTCTTTATTTGGAGATGAGCAAACAGATCCCACTGCTGTCTGATAAACAGCTGGAGGACACACACACACACACACACACACACAACACACAACACACACACACACACACACACACACACACACACAGTGTCTTTGAGTGGGCGGCTGCTATCTGTAGCTGTTATGGTGCTTTCACTTTCACTCTGACAATGCAGTTGCATTCACTGAAATTTGGATATTGGAGTTTGAGTGAATGAACTTGAACTATCAGATCTGGGGTGTCAGTGTAGTGTTTGGCTGCTTGAAGGCGTCACTAAGAACAGAGCCAATATTAGTTCCTGTACTGTCCCTACTACAGTGTGACATGCAGTCCTGATGATCACACATGGAGCGACACTAAACAGAAAGAGAAACGAACGGAGGCTGCAGTCTGGACTCTTGAGCCAGGAGCCAGGTGCATGCCGGGGATTTTGGAGCCATTTGAAATTTGAATGTAATAAATTCTGGTGCTGCATTTTGTTCCTAATAAGCTGCAGCTCTTTAGCGCCTTAATCAGGCTCTTGCCAAATTTCTGCTGCCATCCTTCCGTGTGTGTTAACGGGACACTTTATTGCATCATCTTCCTGTAAGCACGCTTAAAGCCAACGTGCTTTGGTCACAACAGTGTGGTCAGATTGATCGAACACCAGAACTCAGTATACCTGACTTAGGAGTCGGCCAGCTGACTGCACATATGTTATTAACGCTATGTTAGCATGAGCTAGCTAACTAGCTTAAGTGAAGGAGGCCGGTTAGCGGACGGGGCTAGCTCCAGTTCAGCTAACTTGAAGCTACCAGTTAGCCAAAAATGAAAACACCGGCTGGAGCTTCCAGTTTATTCCTCCCATCGTTAACACTTAAAGCTATTTAACGTCGACCTACTAACACTCTGCAATATAACTGGTGTCCTTCTGTAAACGATTGGCGCCTGATTCGGCTCATCCAGAACCAAGCCAGGAGCTGTCACTTGTGACAGATGCTATAACGGGCGTTGAACGCACCGCATATGGAAGCGCCTCACATTAACCAGGCGGTAATGATTAAGCTGTGGGCAAAGTCATGTCGCAATAAACTGACAATAAGCTAAACTACGTTGGTCTCGGGTTTCCAGATCGCCGCCCGGTATGAATGAAGCGGTTCTCTGTGGACGCTGCTGGCTGTTAGCTTCCCTTCATCCCGTCAGTTGCCACATGCTACCAGGCTGCTTGCTAAAGACAAACGTGAACACTGACCTGCTCTTTGCTCGCCTTCTCTGATTTCAGCTTCCGAACGACTTCACCCTGGACTTTAATCGCTTCTTGTATCTGCGCCTTGTCCTCCATGTCTTCTCACGGATGTCCCCGCCGCTATGACAGCCACACCAGCGACCTGCAGCGTGGATCGGCTTCTTCTTCTTCTGCGGGTTTCAATGGCGGTTAGCAAACCAAGGTAAGGCGCACTACCGCCACCAACTGGACTGGAGTGGGGACGAGCGCGTGGATCGTCTTCTTCTTCTTCTCCGTCTTCATAAAAGGTTTATTAAAACGGTTTGCGAATAACGGATTAGTGCAATAGCGCCGCCAGCTGATGTGGAGGATCAGAACGACTCTTATTTACAGCATTAGTTTAAAAATAAATAAACATTTCGTGCGTATTGATCGTGCTGACAATAATAATAATAATGATAACAATAATGATAATGATAATAATAAGAAGAAGAAGAAGAAGAAGAAAAAGAAGAAGAAGAAGAAGAAGAAGAAAAGTAAAAATTTCATATATTAGTTTTCATTTGTCTCCTTTTTGCTACATCCAACACTTTGGTGCATGGATTATTGCTCCATGGTGGATTATCCGTGCACTACATGTGTCTGATTGTATGTCACA